AAAGCTTTTACAAATCCTGTTGCAATATAGTTTTAATACGTAAGTACGCATATTTGGCCTGCTAGGACCCCCGATAATGCAAAAGAGCCTCGTAGACAAAGTTATTTTTGCCGAAAATCCGGTTTTTTGAAAAATTCAGTAAGTGTCCCAAGTAATTTTCCAATTGAAATATCTACTATAATAATTTTGCTGTGGTGTCCGTCTGTCTGTCCGTCTGTCCGTCATGTCCCGGATTCAACTCGAAGGGGAAAGGAGCTAGAGCTTAGCTCTCTTCGGATTCGGATAGAGCGTGGTCAGAAACCCCCAAACTGATAAAAAAATTATGAAAAAGTTTTAGTTTAAATTATTAAAATTAACTTTGAAAGTTTTTTCCTTAGTAAAAGGGGTGGGGGCCCCTCTCCCGGGAGGCCACGCCCCCTTTCCCGTCCCCGTTCTTCCCCAGGCCCATTCCCGCGCCCAGATAGCTTTTTTTAAGTTACTTTAATACTTTTTAATACTTTTTAATTATGTTAATTAATTATTTAAATTATTTAAATCATCTAAAGCCATCAGGAAGGTATTTAGGTAGTTTTTGAAGGGGATTTCAGCCATGGGGGGTATCTAAAGCCATCGGGAAAGTAAAGTTACTTTAATACTTTTTAATACTTTTTAATTATGTTAATTAATTATTTAAATCATCTAAAGCCATCGGGAAGGTATTTAGGTAGTTTTTGATGAGGATTTGAGCCATGGGGTATCTGAAGCCATCAGGAAGGTATTTAGGTAATTTTTGAAGGGGATTTCAGCCATGGAGGTATGTGAAGCCATCAGGACCGTATTTAGGTAGTTTTTGATGGGGATTTCAGCCATGGGGGGTATCTAAAGCCATCGGGAAAGTAAAGTTACTTTAATACTTTTTAATTATGTTAATTAATTATTTAAATCATCTAAAGCCATCGGGAAGGTATTTAGGTAGTTTTTGAAGGGGATTTCAGCCATGGGGGTATCTGAAGCCATCAGGAAGGTATTTAGGTAGTTTTTGAAGAGGATTTCAGCCATGGGGGGTATCTTAAGTCATCGGGAAGGTATTTAGGTAGTTTTTGAAGGGGATTTCAGCCATGGGGGGTATCTGAAGCCATCTGGAAGGTATTTAGGTAGTTTTTGAAGAGGATTTCAGCCATGGGGGGTATCTGAAGCCATCAGGAAGGTATTTAGGTAGTTTTTGAAGGGGATTTCAGCCATGGGGGGTATCTGAAGCCATCAGGAAGGTATTTAGGTAGTTTTTGAAGAGGATTTCAGCCATGGGGGGTATCTGAAGCCATCAGGAAGGTATTTAGGTAGTTTTTGAAGGGGATTTCAGCCATGGGGGGTATCTGAAGCCATCGGGAAGGTATTTAGGTAGTTTTTGAAGGGGGTTTCAGCCATGGGGGGTATCTGAAGCCATCAGGAAGGTGTTTAGGTAGTTGCTGAAGGGGATTTCGGCTAGGAAAGGTATCTAAAGCCATCAGGGAGGTATCGAAGTAGTTTTTTAAGTGGATTGCATGAAGGGTAGCCCGAAGGCCAGATGGTTACAGTCGCGAAGCGACTGGAACCATCTGGTAGCTGATATTTTAATAAAAACTAATAAAAACTACTTGCTAGGACATTGATTCGCTGATTTGGCCGTCTAGGAAACCCCCCGATAATGCCAAAGTACCATTTATAATTTTCTTCTCCAGTGTTTCCAGCCTTTACCACTACTTCTAATATACTATCCCATCACCAAAGCCACCCCCCGAAAACAACACTAGAATATTCGAGATTCCCCCGATGGTCATCCACTTTTCAGGCCTCCGAAAATGTTGCGAGGTCCTTTTTGAGCTCCGTGAATGGACGTGTGATGGGCTGTAGAGGTGCGAAGGGATGTCGCTCTCTTTCTCTCTCTCATTCTCTCTCTCTCTTTTAGGTAGGAAGGAGGCCCATCCCTGATTCCATTACGCACCTATGCATGCCTGGGCCTCAGACTCCCCGCGCGGCGAGGAGGCCCGTCCCTGGTTTCAAAGGCTCAATCAGCACGCCGTTGGGCCCCCCGAAATTCGTGGATTCGACCCGGTTAGCGAGGCCGAAGGAGAGATCGTATCATTTTGAGAAGAAAATGACACTTTCGAAGGTTCTATCTGTGTTTCAAAGGGTACTTTTGTATTATCGGGGGTAATTTGTCTGTAGGTCCAGATCTCCCTAGTAGCATATTCACAGCTATATTCCTAGTTTTTAGCAGAAGCAAAACAATTTTCAAGCGTAAAACTATCTAGAAAGCTTGCAAAAATGTTTACAATTTAAATTTTTATCGAAGCGGTGCTTTTCTATTATCGGGGGAGGGGATTTTACTTGCACCCAGATCGACCTAGTAGCGTATTTTCAAGTACTTGATAGGGTTTTTAGTAAAATTTTAACAATATTTCAAACATACAAACTATCTAAAAATTCGATAAAGGTTTGAAATTGAAAATTTAGTCGAAAACCTATTTTCTATTTTCGTTCATGCTCGTTTGTAAACCGTTGACGTTTAGGAATATTAAAAAAGAGTCGAAAACCTCTTCGAGTTTAAACAGAACAAATGGGTCCCGCCGCCCCCCCGATAACGCAAAAGCTGCTAGTAAATCTCATATCTAGAACCCCCACCCCCAAATTTCAACTTTATCTTCGGACCCCGAAATCCATCAAATCAGCGCTAATTTCCGTAAATTGGCAGGGAAGTGCTGGTAGGGGTGGTGGCCCCGCTGCATCTGTCAGCAACCAGGGCCAAACCCATGGCCCCGTGTCCTAATTTCTTAATTTGGTGCCAAAAGGGGGTCCTCCGGGGGCCTACTACGCCCCTCCCCGAAAAGCCTCACCCGCTACCTGGGGTGCAAATAATTAGAGTACGCCTAGGCTGCTGGCTGTTTCCGGCTATCAAGGTTCCAGATTTCAAAGCGGCAGCTAACCTACCTACGCGATCCAAGATTTCGTAGGGGCAATTAGACCTCCCCAAAACCCACACCGGGTCGCCCCGAAAGTGTGATGAATGTCCGTTCACCTGGCCCTCCTGAACTGCCCGATTTCCGGTTCAATTTCGGCTAGCGCGCCCTGCTCGCTTTTTAAAATCCCATCTATCATCCCGCGTGAAAATTGGTGCTAAACCCAAAAAGGAGCGCGCGCCTGGGTCCCCTGGGTGAAGCCCCCCTGTGAACTGACTCAAGAAATATGCCCGTGCCAAACGGGACACAGACAAAATCCTAGCCAGATTACTGCTTCCTCGGAAAATCTAACCTTATTTTTCGGCTTTCCGCGCTTTCTGAAGTGCTAAACTGCCCCCTAAAGCCCTGGCCATGGCGGGTGAAGGCTAAATGGCTCCCCATCCATCTCATCTCCAATAACCGTTTCCTACTCCCCTTACGCGGATGTCGAAAAGAAAAAAACGGACGATTATCTGCTCGTGACAACCACAACAAAAAACCCACCAGACTGGCCGGCGACGAGCCCAAATACTGGAATACCCAGTAGCAGAAGTGCTTCAATCCGTCCCATCAGCGCCAATCTTCAGCCATTCTCGTACATTGTCCCTGAAATCACCGAGCACTATTGGAAAGACACTCGGCGCGAGGACCCGAAATTATACAACTGAGCTTTTTTACGCGCAACAGACGCGCCATAAATATGGGCGTTATTTGTCTTGGCGACGCGGCGCGAACCAGTGGATCATCCACGCGATTATTTTCCGTGGGTGAGTCAGACTGTAGCCAAACGGTGGACTACGAGGGAGAAGCTTTGAGGCACCACAGATGTTGTTTAGAACAATCGGTGCCCAAATTCGATCAGCAGACGTCGAGTCTGCCTCCAAGGCTTGGGGCCCAGCGCGCGGAAAATTGACGCCCCGCCCTCCATGTCGTAGCGCCGTTATGCTGTTCCCTCCGCATCCCCCCATCCCCAAGCAAGGCAGCATGTACGGCTTCATAACAATTTATTCAACAAAAACAATTAAGCAAAAGGGGGTCCGGGAACTCAAATGTCACATCCTTTCCGGTGAGCTTCTTATAAACGTGGGTGAAAGTGTCGACCTTGTGCTCAACGTTGGTCTGCTGTTGCTTGTCGAGGTGGCACTGAAAAGAACATATATAAACAAAGTCGACAATAGTTACAAAACCTAGGCATAAAATTTGCGGAAGACCGTAATGGATGAGCTGCTTTAGCGCAAAGTTTTTGATATTAACGAGCAGAGGTTCGGTTCAGGGGTTTCCCCGTCAAGAAAATTCTTTTGCCTCTGGTTTATGAAATGCCGTTGAGGGACTTGTACCGAACGTAGCTACGTTTCCAATTCAAAATCAAATGCCTGGCGGGAATTGCTAAAGTCCAAGAACCGTTCGATGGGCAAGAATAGTTTGTAGGCGAGCATAGATTCCTCATAAAGTCTCCTGGTGTCTGAAAGAATAGCGACGAACCCAAAACGACGAATTTACACCAAGTTTACCAAAGCCCAACTGGATAGGCCGTGGACCCTGAACCGAAATCGCGCGTAGACGGACTTAGCACAAATGGCCAAAGTAGATAGGTTTGAAAAAAATACCTTGATGATGCGCTTGCCATCAGACTTGACTCGGATCCTCTTGCCGACGATTTCGGCGGGGAAGCAGATGTCCTCGAGGATCGCTTCGTGAACGGCCGTGAGGGTTCGGGAGCGCGGCCGCTTCTGCTTCTCCGGGATCCTCTTGTTTCCGCGTTGGGGCTTGGGCAGAATGCGTCGCTAGAAAAACACGTATGCAGGAAACCGGAGAATTGTTACCTTCGCGATGAAGACAACGTGCTTGCCTCCAAGCTTCTTCTCCAGTTCGCGGATCAATTGAACCTGGATTTTGTTGAAGAGCTTGAGCTGCGGGAAGGGAACGTAGACGACGACGATCTTCTTGTTTCCGTGGTCGATCTCCTAAAAAAAGAAAATAAGGGTTGCCACACAGATAAGCACAAAGTACCGCTGCCTTGGACCCAAACGCACCCAAAGAAATGCGCCGATTAGGGTGAAACTAGGCAAGAAACAGAACAATACTAAATTTTAGGACAAGCGTCATCCAGGACCCTTTATTAGGGAGTTTCAGCCAAAAACCTAAGCCAGACCACCCACAGCTCCAATGCGGGAAAAACTTGCCTTGACTCCGACGATGTAGAGCTCACGGAGTTGTCCACGTAGGTCCTTGCTGTTCTCGAGATCAGTCAACGAGCCGGCGATCTGCTTCTCGATCTCGGTGGGGGCTTGCCCGGCGGGTAGAACGAGTTTCGTGCCCTCCGTCATTCTGACCCTAGTTACTGAAAAAAATACGTTATCCAGAGTTTTGAAAAAGGCGGAAAACGAGAAAACAACAATCAACGCGCACGGAGGAAGCAGAGAGTTCAAAAAGAGACAATTTAAACTTGCAAAAAGGCAGAAAAAGGGAATTTAGAAATATTTTGTCGATAAAATAGCTGCTCCTCTCTGCGGCCTATGTCCTATCGTAGCGCCAGCGAGCCGGTCCACGGTTTAGCAGGCGGTTATATGCAGCCTCCGCAGGGACAGGCGCGCAAAAAAGAGGTCACAAAAGAATTGGCCAAAATTCGGAAGAAGTTTCTGTGAGGTGTTTGTTCGTTACGGTATTAGCCACGTTTTAGCAATCAAAGACGGTCCGTTTCATTTCACCTCACATCTTTTGTAAATTGGAACTTACGGCACCTCAAATTGCAAAAATTTATCAAAAAAAAAGTTGTAAAAGTGAAAAATTAATGCTATTAGTATTTGAAAGAATTAGATAAAGTTCGAAGGGGAAAATGAAGTCGGTTAGAGTTTTGGAGAACTAGGAAAAAGGGAAAAGATTATTTTTTCTATTTTTTTTTCGTTATCGAAAATTCATCCTCTGACAGGCTTAAATGTTGCGTGCGGCATTAAAATCGATAATATCAGTTTATACCCATCGATCTTCACATGAAATTATTTAGTTTTGGTGCCAGTGGCCAGTCCAAGCTTTTTACGGTAGATTTTATTCGTGCCGTGGAGGGTGTCCAAAATCCCGAGCACGCCAAAGTTTTCGTTGAACCTGAAATCATATATTTGAAGCTTTAGCGGCAATTACGCTTCATGGTGATAATCGTGTTGGGTGGCTGAGGGGAGCACTGGGAAGTCATATCCGCAGTGAGAAAAGGTGGTTGATGTTACGGCTGCTATGAACCAGATCCAATACGTGATCATGTGGGCACCGATCAGAGTTGGGCCTAAAGGATTGGTTTTAGGCTTACTTTTAGTATTTTTTAATGCAGTAAAGTATCAGCCTTAGTTTTTATAGATCAGAAAATTAATATTCCTGCAAACCTAGCATAATCGGCATAAGATTTGAAATTGCGTGCTCCAGTGGATGGCAGTAGACGCTAGTTATCGCTGGAAATGCGGAGAATTACTTACTTTCTTCGAAGTCACTTACAAACTGGCGCCGTCCATCTGTGATGGATTTTGTGTATCCTTTTGTAGAAGAAGGGCTGATGGAAAAGTCTGAAAAAAAAGTTCAATAGTTTTTTTGCTACCTAATAAAAGCCATAAAATTAAAAAATAGGTTTTACCTATGTGTATAGTAGAAACCCAGTTCTTCGATGAGCACCGAGAAGATGAGATCACGCAGTATTATCAAAAGGGAAGGGACTTCTCTAAAAACGATGGGATTTTTTAGAAAAGCGACTTTGCAAACCTCGAAAAGCTAACTCCAGTATATTTGCCCAATACGTAGAAAATTGTCGAAACGGATGCGGCCACCACGGTCGTGTTGAAGGCAATTAGTGGGAATGTGGATGAGTATTTCTGCCATGTCACCTGTAAAACTTTTCGGTACTAGTTCCTTAGCGGGGGAGGGGTGCCTTTCTTTATTCAGCCTAGTCTATTGTATTAATGCAGTCTATTTACATAGTGTTTTGAGCAGTTCTCATTTATTCGACCTTTCTAAAAATTGCTCTAGCCATTTTAAATATGTTTTGACCAAAAAATTGCGACGATTTAGAGAGTTTTTCTAAACTTTTTGGAGTTTTGGCATTTAAGGGGGCCTAGTGCGGTCTAAAAACCTAGGCAATATGAAATTTTGGGCGGAAATCGAATTGCTTTGTATTTTTAATAGTTTGTAGTTTTCACGTTTAGAAATAATCAACAGTTTAGAAACAATTTCTCTTTTTATATTGGAAAATGGATCCTACGCAACAAGTTGCTACCCGCCCCCGCTAATGCCAAAGCACCACCTTTTGCTCTTCAAAAAGGCGAGAAACGCGATGAAATATACTTTATATTTAATTATTGGCATCTACGTGAACAGGGAAATTTATGTAGTTCCACCTCCGCTAACGAACCAGCACCAATTTTCTGTTCTTACAATGCACACTTTCAGTACTGAGCCGTATTCTGACCGGCGCGCAACACTTAATATTAATCGGGGGGTTGCTCCTTTGTTCTTTTTAGCTGATAAGCGATGACATGAGGGGGGGTTCACAAAGCGGCACTATGCCCCCCCACTTCAGATCTTGAACGTTCGTGATTGGCATTTTCTTGACAGGATACGCGTCCTGTTCTGGCAATCCCCCCGTGGCGCTGAAAGGCACCGTCACGACGGTACTGATTACGATCAGGAGATTGGTGAGGTTTGGTGTTTAACGGAAACCCGGAAGTGGAGAAAAATCGGGTTTTCAAGCTAAAAGGAGACATATTTTAGTGACAATTGTGTTTCCATACGGACCAGGCCTATATTGTGCAGAATTTTGAGAGGATTCAGAATCTCTTACCAAAATCTGCTAAATTCCCCGGATTAAAAAAGTCATAGAGCTTTTCTGTGCCAAAAAGGGCAATTTAACGAAATTCGACGATTTTGGACCGTTTTCGCACTATTTTTTTATGCCTTTTTATAACTAGAACTAGTTTTTAAACAGCTTCATAACTTTCTTTGATCTGTCGATTTCGCAGATTTTGAAACCAGAGAAACGGAATCAGCGCAAAATTCTGCACAAGCAAACCTGGTCCCGTTTGGAAAATCTATTGTCACTAAAAACGGAAAACGTAAAAAACGTAGCGCTAAATTACCTATCCTTGGAGAAAACGTACATATTTCTTGCCCTGGATCTTGTATTGTTGTACCCAGGCTGGTTGTACAAAATCGATGATTAGAAATGGGATGTTGAGCAGCAGATAGACGACGGTGATGAGCGCCGTTGAATATAGGGTGAAGATCATGAACTCGTTGCCGTTGCAGAAATGCCAGGAGAAATCCCAGAGTGATTGGAGCATCATCTAGAAATTGTAAAACGAAATTATTGGGTTTTAAGGATTTAAAAAATAAACGGCTACAAGAAAAAAGGAAAATGAGGGAGTTGGCGAGATTTTGCTATATCGATTATTTTTATAAACTTTAGGTATCTTTTAAAGGATAACGTGCTGAACAAACCACAAAATGAAGAACTTGAGCATCCGCTTTCAGTTGTTTTTGGGTCAAAACAAAGGTTTTTAGCTCTTTTTAGCGTTTAGTTACATTTTCTAGCGCAAAAAAAACCCGTTAAAAATAGCAAACTGAAGCATTGCAAAATCAGCTTTATTTTTCGCCAAATTCCACAAACTATAGACAGAATTTTCTAGCTCTTAAAACGAAGTCCGACCCAAACAGCCTCGTCATCTGCATTCGCAAAATTAATAATTTCATCCAAATTCGGTGATAAATACCCGGGGCTTTTCAGACGGAAGTCAGGAGGTGTGGGCGGAGCTGGAGCAGCTAGAAAGAGAGATAGGGCAGCTAGAGATAGATACGGTACGCGGTCTCCGATCAGTTCACTCTAGTCCGCGTGCTGAAGTGTGTCGAGAGCTCAAACTTTGGCAATATGAGCAGATATCGGAGTCAGAGCTGGAGACGGGCTCCTTTCTTTGCAGAACCTTTCAATCAAATGAACGGTTTGTAGAGGGGTTGGGCATCAAAGAGCGCTGCTTCCTGTAGCCGGAAAATGCACGGTTTTTAAAGTGGAACTGATTTCGTCGAGAGAGAGAGAGAGAGAGAGAGAGAGAGAGAGCGAGAGCGAGAGCGAAAGTTAAAGAAAACCGCGCAGCGACTATCCTAAGCATCCAATTCTTCCGGTGATCTTATCGATGTCAATAAAAAACTCTAAATGAGCTTAAGATAAGCTCTTTTCTACGTTTTTTTTTTAATTACGCTTTAAAAACTATCAAACTTGAAGAATTTGGCTCATTTTTTAGCTAGCTGAACGATGGCTTCGGTGAAGCCCTAAGAGGGGTCTTTTTCTCGTAAAACCGCTTTTTCTAAGCTTACAACGTCCACCACAATCACAACGTCTAAAATCAGCCTAAAGTATGTTTATTTACTCAAAAGAAGCTAAACGATTACGAAATGCGAATTTCGTAGCTTTTCGCGGAAATTCGCCCATTCTTTCGCTAATTTTAAAATCATCTGAAAATATTCTGCCCTGAAAAGCTCTCAACTTTTAGAATCCATAAATCTGTAGCAGCAAATCTAAAAGCTAAAAAAAGAGAGTTTGTCGTCTTTCCGGAAGCGAAAAACTGTCTCACCGGAGCCCGAAAAACTGAAAATTCTAGCGTTTTTCTGATATTTTTATCTCCAAGAAACCATTTGACGAAATCACATCTAGCTTTATCACGTGTCAAAACCCCCAGAAAATCCCCTAAAAACGGGCTACTGTATCTGTGTTCAAATCTATTTCTAGCCCCTTGATACTTCTCATCAATCATCTCCCCCCCACCCCACCCATTTTTCACACGATCTCCTCCCAAAGTGGAATTTGTGTTGTGGAGGGCGAGAAATGTATCCTTGAAATAGATGGGGAACTATATTTCCGCTCAAATCCACAGCCACACCTACTGATTTTGCAGCACAGCCACCGGGATACCACCACGAAGAGCGTAGGCCACCCGCCAGAAATTTGTGTCTTCTTATCGGGGGATCGGGCTAGAGTCTTGTCGTGTCCCTCCAATTGGCGCATTCTCCAGATGACACGCCGTGTAGCCGAACAGATGATCGCCACCATTGAAGAGCAATGGCGAAATGGCCGGTGTGAATCTGGAAAAAGCGATACCCTAAAAATTTAGGGTTACTGACGTAAAGTATGCCAAAACGAGCATTTGCTATGTGCCTAAAGTTAAGTAACATTATTTAGACTAGAGAGGGGACTTCTTTATATTTCACTAAAATAAGAATCGCAAACGTAAAATAAATCGTTTATATTTTGTTTTAATGAAATATCAAGAAGTCGTCTCTAGAAGAACTTTTATAGATTTTGTAAATGAATTCTGGGTTCTTTCCCATTAGCGCAGGTGGAGACCTATCCCCTCCCTCCCCAAAAAACCTTGAAATTTTGTCGAAAATCGATCATTTTTCCCGAAAAATCTATATTTTTGTATTTCTACCAAAAACTTGTAAAGTTCTTTCGCTTAGCAGCAGTAAAAAAATCATTTAGAAATCGCTTCTCTATTTATAGTAGAAAAAACTCTATATCCCCCGATAATGCGAAAGCACCGAATTCTCTAATTTTTACGAAAAATATTTTATATTAAAACTCACGCTTCCGGAAACTCAAAATTTCAAAGACAATCTAGTTAAAGAGTTTGTCGACTATGAAACGTCAATCATCTACAAATATCAATCCAATTAATTTTTAATATAAAACTTTCCTATCCTATAAGCGTCTTAGTATCGGAAACCCTCTTTACTTGGGAAAAAACTAGCTTTAGGTTAAATTAACCTGTGGCTTTTTTGGAAAATTATACCTAAAAAAATTGCTGTATTTTTTCAACATCCCCCTAATCAGTTCTACTATTCGCCCATTTTGCAGTTCAGGCGGGCCACCCGCGGGGCAGGCCTGACAGCCCAACAAGGCAAACAAGGGTCGGCGAGACGGAGAGCGAGAAAGAGAGCGAGTGAGCAGCCCTCCAATCGATTGATTTCCGTTCCTCACCCCTTACTCATTGCCCCACCACACAACAATCTCTTCTTTTTCTTTTTCTTCGTCGTCGCCAGCCACTGTTTGACTTCTTTCGCACAAGTCCATTGCCTCTGGGGGTCTGAGTCTCTTCTAAAGGTCCTCTCTAGGCAACCGTCTCTGTCTGAAAAACGCGCGCTGAGGGCCAGCACGCATCGTCTTCTAAAAACTATTCGGTGCTGGTTTGTTAACGGGGGGTGTATGGGAAGGTCATTGCCCCAGTTTTTCGACGTTTTAGCTATTTTTGCGGGATTCCTTCCACCCGATGGTAGAGCATCAAAAATTCTACTAAGCGGTTTAGTTGTAACTCAAAATACTGGGATCTAAAATCCTTATAGCAAAAACCAAAATAATGCGTTAAAAAACTGTTTTCTATGCTAGCTTTCGACGAAAACATTCTAAAAATAGGCGGGGGGGACGATGGCTATTGACAAAAAATGCTCCCCCGCTCACGAACCAGAATCCACTATTTTCCTTCAAAAAAAAATCAATGCCAAACAGTGGAAAGCGTCCTTACCTAAAACCATTTCAGGTATGTCGATGACTGCTCCACCGCCCCGTCCACCACGACCCGGGCGCATCCGCGTTTTTCGCGCCCTCTATGATTACCAGGCTCGCTCGGTACGATCCGTCGAATTCTGGAGCACACACTCCCCCTTAGGACCAAGAAATGTCGTTTTCCGAGGGCGATCTCGTCTATGTCTCCGAGGAAGGACCAAATGCCGATTGGCTGAGTGCTCGATGTGGTGGCCAGAAAGGCCTGGTCCCTGCTAACTATGGTTTGTCGATTCTAACGCAAACACAATCCTTTTAGTTGTTAGTGAAAAGGTGGAACATTTGCCTAATCCTCTCCACGAGGCCGCAAAGCGTGGAAATATCGAGTTTTTGACGGAATGCCTGCAAAATGAGGTTTTCTTAAAAAGAATTTTTTGAACGCACACGAAATCTTAGGTCTCGATAAACAGTCTCGACAAATCCGGCTCCACGGCTCTTTATTGGGCCTGTCATGGAGGGCATTTGGAAATGACTAAATATCTCCTACAAAACACCAAAATCAATATTATGGCAAAAGTAAGTCTCCAATCCTCGAGTACGTCGGGAACTTTTTAGAACAAAATCGGCGACACTGCCCTGCATGCAGCTGCCTGGCGCGGACATCCCGAGTGTGTTAAATTGCTTCTAGGTACTTAAAAGTAACAATTATCAGCCAAATTTTAGAACGAGACGTGGATGTCTGGGCAGAAAATGATGAAGGCAAGACAGCACTGGCAGTGGCAAAAGATCCCGAGGTTAGCCAGATTAACCAGCTCAATCTGCCGATGAACATGCAAAACAAGGTAATTTCAGACCTCTGCGCTTTTGACTAGTCGAATGAGGGCCACTCGCACTAATGAAGACGAGTTCAATGAATACGCCAGCGATTCGGACGCCGACTAATGTATTGATAGGAAGATGGGGCCCAACAGTCCCTCAGATAGATCTCTTTCATTCTGTGATCATTTGTACCTACGGGTAAACATGTATTAATTGGTTTATCCTGTACCAATTTCGCAAAATAACGTTTATCAAATTAGAATTACCACACATTAAAAATTCTACAACTACGTAACGAAAAGCTATAGTGTTACCCGTGACCGTAAGCAAACAAAAAACTAAAGCATAAAAGAAAGCCAACCAAGGATAAAGAGTATGCCGCCGGTCGGTGTGATCCGTCGAATTGCCTCGCTGCCGGTGATGCTGTAGTGGTAGCAGGGTCCGCAGAAGATGAGGACGCCGCCCGCCTCAAGGGGTAAATAAAAAGAAATGAAGGACAAGGACTTACAATTAAAGCTGATGTCAGCTTGGGGAACTTGGCGTAGGGAGCGCCCAACAGGGCAACGGAGTGGATGAGGTGGTAGCGAGAGGCCGTGTCAAATGCCTTTAGCCGACTTCCATCAACGACCGCCGATTTGCTCAATGCTGAAATTTGTTAAAATCAGTTTGTTAAGAAAGAAGTACGAGCTAATGGGTAAATTAAATTACACCCAAACAAGGATAGAAACTTACAATGAGATCCATAAGCGCCTAGGATAACAGCTGCTGCCCCGCTGATCCCAGCCAAGCGAAGTATCGGCCCGGTCATCGTGACGACTTGTGGCGCTGCTCCTGATGGTGGAGGAACCGGCGTGACGAATTCAGTGATCGGCCAAAATTGCAGCGAGTTCGGGATCAGCTCCAGAAAGTTCATCCGCCTGTAATGAAATGGATAAATTGGGAAAGAAAAATTGTATGTCAGAAAAGGAAAGCATGTCAACGCTATATGAAACTTATGTATAGGGCTCCCGAAAACTTCTTCAATACCCAACTAGACCGATATAGACCTGTTTTCGCAGTAATTTATCGCTTAGTAAGCCTCTTATAGCCAATTTCCATCTAAAAATTACGATTACTATTAAAATTGGAACTGTTCTGTCAACGTTTTGGGCCGCAAGGGTCGTGCAACAATCCGTAAAAGCTAAAATCTAAAATCTATTGCAGAAAATATGACCCTCGTGGGCCCCAACTTGTTTTCCACGTTTTTTCGGGAGGGGGAGGGGATGTTTACGCCAGTCGCCCCATGGAGAAGCCCGGTGAAGAGAGACGCAGAGAGATCGATGCAAAGCCGACGGCTTCGGAGAAAGTTTTAGAAATTCAAATATCAACGAGAAGTCGTTTCGTCACCTACTAATCTATAAAACGTGGTGGTCAAAAAACATCGTCTTCAAAACTCATTTTTTATTGTCAACTCCAAATTCTTCCCACTCTCTCATACAAATTTAGATACGCGAAGTCTCAAGGCTTCTCCTTTCTAAATTTTTTCAAAGATCCCTGACTTTCATAACCATCCACGCAACGAAATCTTGCACAATGCAACGAAACGTACGCGGTAGGTATCTTACTGTAGGATTTGAACGAAACCACGCAGCCTGCGTGGCGAGTCCCTGTGCGAAGGGCTGCCACGCAGAGTCGATACTCAGGGGGCGGAGGGTCCCCACATTTTGTCCCACAATCATTTCGCTGCTTTACTCATTTTTCACTCCAGTTCGGACTTGTCGTGCTTTTTCTAGTTTTCGATTTCGCCTCGATTTTTTTGCGCCTTTTTTGTCCTCGCCATTCGCCAAAAGCTTCTACCCCTAATCATTCCTTGTTTGCAGAAGCAACTTCAAACAATGGGCAAGGAGAAGATCCATATCAACATCGTCGTCATCGGACATGTCGACTCCGGAAAGTCCACCACCACCGGACACTTGATCTACAAGTGCGGAGGAATCGACAAGCGTACCATCGAGAAGTTCGAGAAGGAAGCCCAGGAGATGGGCAAGGGATCCTTCAAGTACGCCTGGGTTTTGGACAAGCTGAAGGCCGAGCGTGAGCGTGGTATCACCATCGATATCGCCCTCTGGAAGTTCGAGACTGCCAAGTACTACGTCACCATCATCGATGCCCCTGGCCATCGTGATTTCATCAAGAACATGATCACTGGTAAATATTTTTAGCTTTGCCTAAATTTCCTTTTTTTTTCAGGTACTTCCCAGGCCGATTGTGCTGTCCTCGTCGTCGCTTGCGGCACTGGAGAGTTCGAGGCCGGAATTTCCAAGAACGGACAAACCCGCGAGCACGCTCTGCTCGCCCAGACCCTTGGTGTCAAGCAGCTCATCGTTGCCTGCAACAAGATGGACTCTACTGAGCCTCCCTTCTCCGAGGCTCGTTTCACCGAGATCAAGACTGAGGTAAATTCAATTTATATTTGCTTTATTGTTTTTTTAGGTGTGCAACTTCATCAAGAAGATCGGTTACAACCCCGACACCGTTCCCTTCGTCCCAATCTCGGGATTCAACGGCGACAACATGCTCGAGGCCTCCGCCAACATGCCCTGGTTCAAGGGATGGGAAGTCACCCGCAAGGAGGGCAACGCCAGCGGCAAGACCCTGCTCGATGCCCTGGACTCCATCATCCCCCCGGCCCGCCCTACCGACAAGGCTCTCCGCCTTCCCCTCCAGGACGTGTACAAGATCGGAGGTATCGGAACTGTCCCCGTCGGCCGTGTCGAAACTGGTATCATCAAGCCCGGCATGGTTGTCACCTTCGCTCCCCAGAACGTCACCACTGAGGTATACCAGCTTTCTTTGATTCCAATAAGCTTATTTAGGTGAAATCCGTCGAAATGCACCACGAGTCTCTCCCAGAGGCCGTACCCGGTGACAACGTCGGATTCAACGTCAAGAACGTTTCCGTCAAGGACATCCGTCGTGGATCTGTCTGCTCCGACTCCAAGAACGACCCCGCCAAGGAGGCCCGCACCTTCAACGCTCAGGTGAATATTTTTAGTGTGTTTCACGAATATTCATTGTTTCATGGATTGTCTAAATATATTTTTTAGGTCATCATCATGAACCACCCTGGACAGATCTCCGCCGGGTACTGCCCCGTGCTGGATTGCCACACCGCCCACATCGCCTGCAAGTTCGCCGAGCTGAAGGAGAAGGTCGATCGACGTACCGGAAAGAAGGTTGAGGACAACCCGAAGGCCCTCAAGAACGGAGACGCCGGAATTGTCGAGCTCCACCCCACCAAGCCTCTTTGCGTGGAGGCTTTCACCGACTACCCTCCCCTTGGCCGTTTCGCCGTCCGTGACATGAGGCAAACGGTCGCTGTGGGAGTTATCAAGAGCGTCGACAAGTCTGATGGAGCGGGAGGCAAGGTCACCAAGGCTGCGCAGAAGGCTGGTGGCGCCGCTGGCAAGAAGAAATAAAAATATTTTTGGCTTTGTTTTTGTTTCTCATTGTTCTCCCACCTATAAGGGTAAAATTGTTGATATTTTATTTTTTTTAAATAAACACCTTCCTCTTTGAAATTCTGCGCACGAGCTATCGGGAAATGCACACGATGGAGGGGTAACATTAGGATTGGCTTTGGCAATAAGGGGAATGGCGCTCCACTTTTAATGCACCGTGCGGTCAGAACCGATCAGTCGCGATGTTTTTGATTGCAAATACCGAGGTTTAGCCAATTGCAACAAGGAATCAAATAGCCTTTTTATAAAACTGAAGGGGCGTTGCGTTCGCAGTCAACTGGCGGAAACTTGGATCTACTGCGGGCTCTCACCAACCTAACAATTTTGCGCTGCTAATACAGTTAGGGGGGGTCCAAGATTGGTAGTAAGGGGTGACGAGGCGCTTGGCTTAAGCTACTTGGTTGTCAGCGTACGCCTAGGCGTAAGTTAGCTTTCACTAAGCCTAGCTTAGGCAGGCTTAATCCTAAGCCAAACTAAGCTTAACTTGAGCTTCAAATTGACTTACGAGGTCAAAATGGGCTTCTTTATGGGTTAGCTTAGCTTGCCTCTTAGCTTTTCCAGAGGCTTCGAGTTTAAAAAAACGGCATTTGGAGCGTCTCGTAGTCAAACCCCCCCGCGAAGTGCATTAGCACCTATTTTGCTTTTGACCAAAGCGAAACCCATGCGTCGATATTGCTTGGAAAATCCTGTAGCAGAAGGTAGCAGGGCCCCCTGGTGTGCAGCTCTCTTTGTCCGACCAGGTATTTCCTTGATAATACAAGTGAAGGTTTATGCATGCAAAGGAAAACACAGTAGAGATATCACAGTTCTGTCGAGCTCCTATTTTTTCAGCATTTCTCGCAGTTGAGATTGTTTTTCTTCAAGAGCGCCGCGTTGACAGGAAAGAGTAGGATGGGATCTTAAGAAAATTGTTGGATTCGTCGTGCTTATACCTGACAGATAATGCCACCAAGTGATTAAGTTCCATATGTGAGAAATGGGACCTTCTATCGGCAAGCACGCAAAGAAGTTCGTCCGGTTCATGGGAGAGCAACTAAATGCATGATCCGTAATGATTGCAAGCCAAAAATCACCTCGAAGAAAGTTCGTGCACGATCGAGTTCAGCTTCGCGACGGGCTGTCAGCTGGGCAAGCCGTTGCTGAACCCCCCAAATATTACGCGTCACACGTTTTCTTCCAATTTCTGTCAGGCGTTGCATGTGCTGACTGAAAAATACATAATCGCTGACTAAAAGTGTGTGGTGCTGACCTCGAGTGGATAAAGATGGCGGCACACAGATGCCCAAGACCGTCAAAGATATATCTGGAAAGGACTAATGTTAGCATGATAGATCATACCTCATTTTTTTGCGGGCTCAAGTACGTGGCCAGGAGCGAGTGGAAAGCCTGGAGATCTTTTCCGAGCTCAACGACTTCCGGGTCGGTGTCCTCATGGGATGTGGCTTGTCGAAGGCGAGCCAGAGGCAGCAGGTGAAAGAAGCAGTGCACACGGAGCTCCAGATGAAGCATGAGAAGGCAGGTGGCGGAGACGGATTGCAACTGGCTAATGCTCGCATCAAGGCCCTTCAACACGGGCTCCTAAAAGTAAAATTATCAAAACCAATATTTCAAAAAAACCCACATCTTGCGACACTTTTCCGTCTCGATAGGTGACATGAACAGGATGCTCGCGTATAGCTTTGCGGACGTTCGAAGGAAGGGAGTCTATCAATTTGCGCGCCTCTGAAGACAACCACCTATCAAAAACAAAGTTAGAGAAAAAGCGTTGGGCTACCGGAGGGATTCGTGTAAAGCGGCAAGGGCCCGGATGTCTGACCAATCGGAAAGCAGTTCTCCTTTCGCGATCTAGACAGAGCGTTATTACAAGCTCTTTTTGATTCACCTGTTTTTGAGTGCCAAGGTTGCTGATCAGAATATCGGATTCCCGCATGTTGAGTGCACGAATGTCCTGAATACAATGTTAACCAGGGCGCCATTGAAATACCCGTTCGCTCTCCAAATTGGCCGGCGTCTGCACAGAGGCCGGAGAGTTTACCTAGAGCCGGTAATTAGGGAAATGGACAAGGACCAACTGGCAACACTTGATTCGCCAGCTCCCAATTTGGCAACGACATCAGAAGGCGTGAAATGTCTTCATCGGCAGCCCATGCTGCTGAAATCTTTCGCCGCGCCGTCCCATCGCCATCCAACACCGGAGCTGTTGTCTATAACAAAAAAATGTATACGTCATCTCTTGTTAAAGTCAATCATTAACGAGGATCACGCGAACTCTATCAAAATCAACATATGATGAGCGAGAGAACCAGAAATATGATTAGAGGGTAAGCATGCGCAACGCTTGATGACAGACATTTACGAGCGTTTTTACCTGCAAAAATAAGGCTACCCTCTAAAAGCGTTTCGCTTGAGCCGAACGAAAGCGACGCATACCTTTTCGTACAGCTCGTTGATGTGGCGGGTGTATTCGGAGAGGACCAGAAGCCAAACGGCCGCAAATCTAAAAGGTTGATAAATTAGAGCTATGACGCTTTAGGCGAACCTTGGGGCATAATTATCCATTTGCATGATGAACTCGTGAATTTCATTGCACATATCTCGGACTTGTTCGGCAGATGGCAGGATTGGCTGGAATGAAAATTACATTAAAAAGCTGGAATAAATTACCGATTCGTTGCTAGCCACAGTTCGCGCATCGTCCAGCTTCAGCGCCTCGGCCAATCGCCCTTCTAACGTTCTCTAGAAAGAATTTTATGTAAAACAAAAACATTAAAGAGTGCGATTTTTTCGTAGGTTCAAACCCCTAGACACCACAAACAGAAGGCCCACCGTCACTCGCTCCACAAATTCCTCAATGACGAAGCTGTGGATGAATCGCCGGAGTTGGCATAACTGAGTGCCAGTCGCAGATTCAACCTGGAAAAGACGTATCAAAGCAATATAATAATTATACCGCTTCCATCAACCGGCGCAACCAGGGATACATCGGAACTATGTTGAAGAAGGAAGGCGGGCACACCGTCAGAGACGCCTGAAATTAAATTAACATAAGTCATAACTGCAATACCTGTGAAGAGGGAGCCGCAAAAGAAGACCCAGAAGAGCAAGCCGTTGCGTCGAAGCGGAAGAGCTGGACGATGGTCGTGCGGAGATTCGGGTTGGCCGCTTCGGTATTCGCTTGTCTCGTGCCACCGGCCGGCATATCCAAGTGGTCAGACACCATTGATTCCACCTAGGAGAAGCTTAGGAAAACGGAAAAGCACGCACAGCGCTTTGCACGGCATACCAGAAGGCGGGCATCACCTTTGCAGCTGCCTCCGTGCCGATTTGAGGGATCTGAAATGAAATGAACAACGAGAAAGTATAAAAAACCTTTGCGGCGCATTCGGCGAGGGTTGTATGAGCCGCGCGGGAGTGTTCAAGCTGGCGAACGACCTGAAGGAGAAGCGTAGGCATGGTAAGAACGGAGTTACCATCTGGATTAGCTGGGAAAGGTGGGTTTTGTCGGCTCCGCTGAGATTGTCGTCGTGAGCAGCTTTCTGGCGCATCAAACGCACCGATTCGGCAACCTATCGACGGGCTGAATAAGAGCATAACTCTTACCTGCTTCGAAATCTGCGTGGCTGATAGGGCTAAAAGACGATCGACGACAAGCTGCGCCCCATCAAGCACAGAAAGAGCGGCCAGGTGCTCCTAAAGGGGCTTTTTGCACAGATTTCCTGATTTAGACACCTGAATCCGGTTCTGCAGAGCCGTATTGTTCGTATGACGTTGCTGATTGAGTTTGCGGTAGAGGCGCAGCGTTAGCTCGCTTTCTCCAATCCAACCTTCCGGCATCCCGCGCACCACGTCAACCATCTGAATCGTAGATTAAAGGGATGCCGACGGCATAGTCAATCGGTTACGCGCTGGAAAGAAAATGTCTCTGCGCCTCTCCCCTGGGCGCGCTCTCTCCCCTGTTGGCTACTTGCCAATTTGTTGATGGGGCGGGGGGGGATCGACACATGCCGTCGGCAGCCCTTTAACGATGGAAATTAAATATACGAAAAAGAATAGAAAAAGTTCACCTGTTGCTCAAACGGCTCTTGCACCACCATCTCGGCCAGCTGAACCTCGATCTTTTTCGCCAGCGCTTCGGAAGAATCGGCCAGCTGGGCGCGTAGCTGCGAGAGACCGGAGACCGACGCGAATTTCGTCTCTATCAAATCCCCTGCAAAAACATAAACTCAAACTGAATTGCTCACTCGAATTCGCAATCGTTCGAGCCGCATCAAAATACTGATTCTGCTCAATCATCACATCCACTCGGTGCTTCACCTCCCGGAGCTCTTCGCTAAAATAACGAGTCTAACCGATAAAGAACGATCCTCACAGCTTTTGCAGAATGTCGTTGATATGGCGCTGCTGCTTGTCCTCTTCCCACAAACGTTTCAGGTCATCGCGACGCGATTGGAACAGATTCCGGCAATTTGACAACGCATTACGGACGTTGTAAATTCGTTCCCGACAAGCTGAATAGACGAAATGGGTTGAAAACGGTGTTTTTGCCTACAGGAAATCTTCGTTGAAACATCTCGAAACGCCACTAGACTTTCTTCAACGTCATGGTGATGATCTGAAAACGAATTTTGCATGTCTTAAAATTCCCGACGATACATAGTAGCTAGTGAAAGCTCCAAAAGCTTACTTTTCACGAGAAGATCGATTCGATCCTGAACCTCCTTGCAATCCCTTGCCAATACATTTGTTTGGACCTCGCGTTGTTCGGGAGATTGGCTAGTGGTGAGGGCACGGAAGACGGTGATTAACGCCGACTAAATGAAAAAATATATTTAGCATTTTGAACAATATTATTCCAATTATACTAACAATTAAACCAAGAAACTCACCGGATTATTGCCTTGTGGCTTTCGTCGAGGCGCGGCCACGGGTCGCTCGACCATCCGCCGACCTGAAAAAATGTAGTTTAGAAAAGCTTAGTAATATGACGCTTGCGAGTCTAAGAAAGCGGTTTTATAGACTTAGAATTAAAAGAAAACCGGGAATCGAGATTATTGTCGCCCACGGCTGGTCAGTGGTCGGGCTTTCCGTTTAGCCATGGAAAACGCTCGCGCCTATCGACATCGGGGACAATAGTAGAAGGCAACCATCTATCTCAAGGTGTTCGATCACGATTACCTTGAAATATCCGGGATTTTGAAAAACTGCTACACTTTGGTTGGCTGCTCCAGTCAGTCTAGGCCCGCTGGAACTTCGCACCTGAAAAATTAAGTTATATTCAAGAATTCAAAGCCGTAACGATACACAGAAGGGAAGCAAATCATAGAGCCACGAACTAGTACGAAATATCACAGTACGATACACGAGCACTTTTTAGAAGGGGGCTAATTATTCAAGTTGGTACGGAGGTACCCAGCTAGGCGGCGCGAATGGTAAGAAGACCGAGAAAGAAGACCAAAAAAATATCGGAATCCTTCCAATCGGCCCATTTGATGTCCGCGTGTTCGGTGAAGCGCAACGGGTAATCATCGCCAATAGCATTCACGGGAAGACCTTCGATTTCAATCGGCTCCTTGAAGCGAATCGTGAGATTGAATTCCGGGCGTTTGCCCTCTTTCCTTTGATCGAGCAGGATTTTGATCGTTTGGAAAAAGCGAGTACTCAAATCATCCACCGGCTTTGGCAAATCACAGTCGAATTTTTCGAAATCCCACAGCGTAATTTGGCCCAGAAGTTCCATGTCCACCTCCCCAAGGGCGATCTCGCGGGTTGTCGAGAGGGCTTGGCAAAGCCTCGGCGTCAGGCTATACTCGCAGCGTTCGAGGAAAATGTGCGACGGCTTGTACTTCTCGATAAGCTTGACCGCCTTATCATCGCAATCCTTGCCCGCCAAAGCAAGAGCATCCAAATCGAGCCGGTCAATATCAATCAGGCGAGCGTCCAGGTTGAAGACGAGAAATCCGACGCCTGCTCCGTGCAGTAGAATTTCCAGGGCTTCAGGAGTCTCCGCAAAGATTTCGTGCTCGGGCTGGACGACCGAGACGCATTCGACTTCCATAAAGTACTTGTTAGACAGATGCTTCGTCGCCTTGAGCAGCACCGGATGGGCACGCGACACGCGGAATAGATCTTCTCCTTCGAGGGTTTCCAGGATTTCCCACAGCAGGACAATCGGTAGGTCGCAAATATTGGGCACGCTTTCCTTCATCTTCTTCTTCTTCTCTTGCTCCTTATGCTTTTTGCGGAGCTTTGGCTTGAACAGACGATCGCCCATTTTATCTGAAAATGACGAAAATTATCTAACAAAAAGATGAGAAAGATGAAAGGAAAAGCTGAAAAGCAAGCGGCCGGGTAATTAATAAATTTTTTATTGAGTTTTTCCACCACAATGCAATGTACGGACTGTCCGGAATAGCGGTATACTTCGTTCTATAGCGCTCTGTTTGTGTATATGGCAGTTAGCATCTTTATTAACCACAGTACGTGCCGATTGCAGCCCTATTCGCAACAGTGTCATAGTAGCCTAATTGTGAACCGTGACACTGGCGAAAAGGAGTGCAATTGTCGGCTGCAGGTCTACGTCGATACGTCAGCTTTCTCCAAAATCCAACAATCACGCTTCGACGATGAATGCCATCGAAGATTCAGCTGTCCCTGCAACGCCCTAGCCGGAACGGGGGAACGGATTACCGGGCCCTCGGATTAAAGTCACGAATATAGAAGTAGGTGCGCCGTCGTTCACTTTGCAATGAGGCCAGGATGAGCAGCGCCTACAGACGGCTCGGTATCCCGGGATACCGGCCCTTTCTCACACACCGCTCTCCCCGCTAATAAGCCCAAGTGGCCCTTCTCAGGGTTCGATTTCACCTTGTTGTTATCGTAGCGCGTCTTTGTTCAGATATACATATTTAGGATGGTTTACTGCGCATGAAAATGAAACAAATGAACGTCAAACTCAACAAGAAAATCAACAATACGAATTGGGGAGTAACGACAGTTGTAAAATGGGGGGCGGTCAGGAATATTCAATGTCCTTGTTCTTGCACTCGAGGCACGTGTAGAATACGGTTTGCCCTTCATCAGCCGATCGGGTTTGCATCGTGGAAAACGTTGCTCGATCGTGCCCGCATCTGAGAAAGTGCTGTATAATGAAGTGGCGCCTTACTTTGTGCAAACATGATCCACTTCCGCATCGCCACCGGACAGCTTGGCGTTCTCCGAGTCGGCCACCGTTCGTTCGTAGTTCTACAAAAAATCAAATGAGCAAAAAATATATTTTTTACCTTGAAGCTGGTGCACACCAGTTGATCAACCTTCGGCTTGATGGTTAGAACGGTCCCGCATAGACGACATTCCACTTCTCCGGGTTCTAAACGAAAATTTCGGATCTGCCACTGGATATAATCGAATTTTAATGAATCCGGCGGTTTCTAGCGCACAAACAATTCTACAAGCTAATTGAAACCCGGGTATTTGGCCTATTTACTACCAACATCCAAATCTATTTCATCCGCCTAGTCCTTGAGGCCGAAGATCTAATAATCGGCTGCTCTCCCGCCCCCGACATTTCCGGACCTTCCAACTGACCCGCCCGTTCTCCGGCAGAGAAAAAAAATGAGCAACTAATGGAGAGCCGGCGTCTAAGTCTCGATCTTTTCGCATTATCTTCCTCCTTGACCGCAGCCTCTTACAGCAACTCCCTCTCGGCCCCTGTCGCTCCCGTTCCTACTCCCCGAAACGCATTGTTTGTCAAGCATTTAGCGCCAGACGGTTCCCGACTTTGATTGATTTCAAACCGCTTGATTCCCTAAATAAGTGCAAAAATGTGCTTACCTGCTGCCATGGGTAGTATAGAGCCACAGAACGGGCAAAAGTCATTATTTTGCTTCTCGCGCACAAAGATGGGCTTCACCTCCATCACTAAGCTGATTTTTAACCCCATCACCACCATCGAGCCATGTATTTTTGCTTGATAAAACATCTGAGAACTGACCAGAGTTCGTGAATTGAAACGTTTATCAAGGACCAATGTTAAAACCCATAACCACAGAAACAATGCCATTTTTGACGAGAGAACAATTTGATCACATAGCTTAGAAACGGAGAGGAATAATAAATTAGCAACAATTCGGAGAGAAAACAGGGCGGTCGGTTTAGTAGCTGCGGCCGAAGAGGGCAAAGTTCTTGGGCTTGTGCTGGCAGCCGGGGTTGATGCACTTCGTGGGTAGCTCCTCCTTCGGCTGAAAAAAAAGTTAGAATTCAATTAATTTCAATGATGAATTAGCACTTCGAATCTAGACTCCGATATAACGGATTTTCTCCGCAATTTGCCTATAAAAGTTGCTACAAAAAGCGGCGATTTCTAGCTTGGGACTTTCGTCACTACTCGTACTCGTCCCGTGATGGCTGCAACTCTCCGAAACAACCGTCTTCTCGCCAGTCTCCTCGCAACGCTTGGAGCTGGGACCACCATCTATGCCTTCACACCACAGGTCAGTGCAGATATTCAAATTTGGTATTTAAAGGATTTTTTAGGCGACGATGCTGAAGAATGACGTCGACTCCGACACGGTCCGCAAAATCGAGGAGGCCTACAAGAAGCTGAACGGACCCGAGGCCGACAAGTGCAAGTCGCTGCTGAAGAAGCATCTGACCAAGGAGGTCGTCGACGATCTCAAGCACAAGAAGACGAAGCTTGGAGCCACGCTGTACGACTGCATCCGCTCCGGTGTCTTCAATCTCGACGCTGGTGTCGGAGTGTACGCCCCGGATGCCGAGTCGTACAAGGTTTTCGCCGGCCTCTTCGACCCGATCATCGAGGAGTACCACGGGTTCAAGCCCCATGAGAAGCAGCCCGCTGTCGACCTGGGCGAGGATAAGATCCACCAATTCCCTCCGCTCGACCCTAAGGGCAAGTACATCAAGTCGACTCGCATTCGGTGAGTTTAGTACCTAAAAGTTTCCTTAAATACAGTTTCCCATGAAGCTCCTTTCAGTTGCGGTCGCTCGATGGCCGGCTACCCGTTCAACCCCTGCTTGAAGCAAGACGACTACCTGGCCATGGAGGGCAAGGTCAAGAAGGCGTTCGACACGTTCGCCGGCCAGCTGAAGGGCAAATACTACCCGCTTGACGGCATGACCAAGGGCGACCAGAACAAGCTCATCGCCGACCACTTCCTTTTCAAGGAGGGTGACCGCCATCTGCAGCACGCCAACGCCTGCAATTTCTGGCCAAAGGTTTGCGCCCACTTCCGGAGCTTTACTGTTATCTCCGTAGGGTCGAGGAATCTTCCACAACAACGACAAGACCTTCCTGATCTGGGTGAACGAGGAAGACCACATGCGCATCATCTCGATGCAGGAGGGCAGTGATGTTGGCGCCGTTCTGGACCGCCTCGTCAAGGGTGTCAAGGTGGGTAGTTTGATTCCACACGCAAATACAACCCTTCAGCACATCGAGAAGCAAGTCCCGTTCTCGCGTGACGAGCGTCTCGGATGGTTGACATTCTGCCCGACGAACCTCGGATCCACGGTGCGCGCTTCGGTGCACATCAAGCTTCCGAAGGTGTCGGCTCGCAAGGACTTCAAGGTATGATCAAAGAAATCGATCCCACATCGGCTTCTTCAGAAAATCTGCGACAAGCTGAACTTGCAAGTCCGCGGCATCCACGGTGAACACTCCGAGTCTGAAGGCGGCGTCTACGACATCTCGAACCGTGCCCGCCTCGGTCTATCCGAGTACCAGGCCGTCAAGCAGATGTACGACGGTGTCAAGAAGCTCATCGAGATGGAGAAGGAGATGGAGAAATAGACGTGCCATGCTACCACCCGACAAAGCCAATAGATTATGATCTTGATACTCGGGTCTTTAGGAATAAACTTTTGACTAGGCAAAAATAAATGGATCAGCACACTGACCTGTTCCAAGGGGATGCACAAAGTCTTGGCGCCCATCTGCGCCTGGCCGGCGTCGCCTTCACCTTCCCTAAAGAAAAATATTTGCATCGGAATTCTGACGATACCTTGTCGAGTGTTTCTTGATGTCATCTTCGCAGTTAGGCTCTCCGCAGAAGGGCGAAAGCAGCACGAACTTCTCGTCGAGGAGGTTCTTGAACTCCTCGAAGTCGGTGGTCACCTTCATATGGGCATTGCGAGCGGCGAGAACCCTATACAAAAATGTTTGAAAGGAAAGAAGAACTTACTTTTCGTACATTGACGTGTGAATCTCCTCAAGAAGACTCTTCAACGACTCGACAATGTTATCGCGCTTGATGGCCTTCTTTTCGCCGCTGAATCGGATGACGGCCGTCACCTGGTTGGCTGCCAGATCCTTGGGGCCAATCTGAACGAAAACATGTTGCAAACAATCAATTAAAAGTAAATACCTCAACACGGATCGGCACACCCTTCAGCTCCCAGTGGTTGAACTTCCAGCCGGGCGAATAGTTGTCCCTAAAAAGAAACAATAATACTTCAAGTGAATGAAATACCTGAGGTCGGCTTCCGCCCGAACGCCACCTTCGACCAACTGAGCGACGATGCTCTCCGTGGCCCGGGTAATCTCATTTCGCTGTCCTTCGCTGGTTTGGGCAGTAATTCCGACGGGGAGAGCAATGGCCTGAAAAGTGTTTATCAACAACCAAAGGTTGCATACCTGAATACAGGCCACGCGGGGAGGCAACACGAGACCATTGTCATCAGCGTGGATCATTACCATTGCGCCGATGCTCCTGGTGGAAAGTCCCCACGAATTTTGGTAGGCAAACATCTAAAATATATGTTGCTAATGCTTAGGCTACCAATAAAATACCTTTTGGCCATTCCCACTGGGGTCCTCGAACGAAATGTCGAACATTTTGGAGAAGTTCTGGCCAAGGTGGTGAGATGTGGCTCCCTAAAGAGAAATATGGACACAAAAGCGTTTCCTTACCTGAATACCGCGTCCATTCACAGGCACGTATGCTTCAACAGTCGTCGTGAAGTCGCCACCGGCGAATTTCTCCTTCTCTGACTTGCGTCCCTTGACCACGGGAACGGCCAGCAGATCCGTGTAGACGCCAGCGTAGAGATCGAGGATCTTGAAAACTTCCTCCTCGGCATCCTTGGCGTTGGCATAGGCGGTGTGGCCTAAATTAAGTGTTTATGCAATAAATAGTTATTTTACCTTCTTGCCAAAGGAATTCACGGGTACGCAGGAATGGAGTAGGGTGCTTGAACTCCCAGCGCTGAAAATGAGAACATAGGATTGAAAAGGGGAAAGGCATAGTAGAGACTTCTAAACTCACCACAACGTTGCACCACTGATTGAGCTTGATCGGCAAGTCGCGATGCGACTGGACCCACTTCTTGTACGAGGGGTACATCACCGTCTCGGATGTGGGGCGGATGGCAATTGGCTCGGCCATATCCGAGTTTCCGGCCCTCGTGACCCAGGCGACCTAAAAATGAATATTTTCCAGAATCCGCATTGGTACCTCCGGGGCGAAATCGGCGATGTGGGTCTTCTCGCGTTCCAGGGCAGCGTTTGAAACGAACATCGGGAAGTAGCAATTTTTCACGCCGAGCTTCTTGATTCCGGCATCAAACCTAAAGAACATCTATTTTATCCATAGGCGCGCCTCACCACTGCTGAATTCCTTCCCAAATGGCGTATGACCAAGGGCGCAGCACGTAACAGCCGGAGACGTCGTAGTACTCAATCATTTCAGCCTTTGTGATCACCTAAACATCGAATAAAGGAATAAAGAAATATCAGTGCACCTGAGAATACCACTCGGAGTAATTGTCGTCCTTCTTTGTCTCGATGCCCAGCTTGCTCTTCTTTCCATCTCCCTTGGCCTCTTCAAGTTTGGCTTGTTTCGGTTTCTCTTCCTAGAACCTATGTAAAAGCGGCGTAATCAAACAATACCTTTTTCTTGTTCTCTCCGCCCTTCTTGTTGTCGCGTCGCCCGCCTCCGGGAGCCTGGTACTCCTGTCCAGTTTTTTCCTAAACATTAATAGTTATGTTACACAAAGTAAAATCAACCTTGAACGAAAGTTTCAGGGCTAGCAGCTTCTCGATGGCCTCTTTCTTGTCGGCTTCACTGCTCTTGGGGTCGCCCTTCACCTTGCGCACCAGTTCGCCCTGGGCGACGATCTCAGCCTCCAGTTCGGCAGCCATGCTGAAAAATATAAATGTAAAGGCTCTCATGATAAACGGAAGTTGGACAGGAAGACATGAGTGTTAGTAGATGAGAATGGATGGTGTAACCTGGGGTAAAAAATAGATAGCTTCAACTAGCCTGTTCTTTACCTTTATTTCATTCAGAAAGGTATGAATAGATTGTCAATAATAATTGAGCATTGCGTGAATAGTTAGGATTAGTAAAGTACACCCGGTACACCCGGTACACCCGGATAAAAAGAGTGGGCGTGGCGCGAGAGTGCAGACATCTTTGTTTGCGTTTCTCTGCCCAAATTTACAAATTTCCAGAAGCGAGGGCCGGGGAAGTTGGGAAATTCGACGCTCTCTTTGGACAGGGGTGAAATTCGTGGGGCTCCGTGTTCGGTGAGCGCGCGCGCTATCCTTGGCTTTTGTCTCGTTGCGTACTCGGGCCAGAAAAGAAGCACCAGAGCCCGGCCTTATCTATTCCGGGAATATTCCGGGAACGCCTCTTATCATTCCCGGAATCTCCCTGAATCTCCCGGAATTAATTCCGGGAATGATTCCGGGAATCGATTCCCGGAATGCGTTTTCATCTATTCCGGGAATCCCGGAATAGATTCCCGGAATGCTATTCCGGTAACCCATTCCGGGAATCAATTCCCGGAATGATTTTCATCTATTCCGGGAATTTTAGGTAAATTCCCGGAATGTAATTCCGGGAATAATTTTGTTAAGGCTGGGCCTACCCGACCAAAAGGTCGGGTAACCATTCCGGGAATCTAGGTGAAACATCACCAAAATTCCTGAAATTTTCACAGTTGCTTAAAAAGGGCTTCATTAGCTAATATACAAAGTTTCAAATTAATCGGGTAGTTCCCAGCAAAGTTACGGAGAATTTTCGAAGTTAAAAAAATTAAAACCTTTATTTACCGGCAGGAATGCTATTGGCTACCTCTTCATACAAATACTGGAATTTTTCGCTTTTAACAACTACATTTTTTAATTCGAGGAATTTTCAAGTGTTTGAATTCCGGGAATGTGCTGAGATTCCCGGAATAGATGAAAACTATTCCGGGAAAGCATTCCGGGAATCGGCAAAAATATTCCCGGAATCGTTTTCATCTAATTCCGGGAATCTATTGCGGTAACCGTTCCCGGAATAGGTTCCCGGAATAGAGATGAAAATGATTCCGGGAATATTTTTCCCGATTCCCGGAATGATTCCCGGAATTATTCCCGGAATAGGTTCCCGGAATGATTCCCGCAATAGATAAGGCCGGGCTCAGGAGGCAAGGCCTCCCAACTGAATGAAATAGACGCTCAATAAATCATGAGGAAGTAAAATAAATAGACTTTTTGAAGTGAATAGTGCTGAATCCTATGAAGGTAAAAGGAAAGCTAGTGGAAACGCATCTATTTTCCACACTGGGCTCCAGAAATTGAGGGTTTCAATAAGCTATTTAAGAGCAAATCAACGTGATCAATTTGAAAAAGGTTGGAGAAGAATCGGAAACGGCTGCGATGGAATTCGGGCTGTGAAATGCGAGAAAAAGACGTCCTGTGGACTCGGAAAGAGACTGAAAGGGCGCCCGAGGACGGGACCGGCCGCACTCGCTCGAGAAAGAGAGAGGAAACACGCGTACCCGCCACGCGGAAGCGCTCCCGCCGTAACTTGCCGTCAAGGGCAAGAAACCTGCCCAAAAGCAATAAATTCTTTGCAAATATGGCCATGTGACCATGACATTTCCAAAAACGTTGCATTGATCATGGCGCCCACAAATTTATTAATTTTCATTTTCATATACAATAATTCACAGATTCACAGAGAACCGGAAAAGATACAAGCTACCCAGGAAGAAAACGAAGTATTGGGACCAGAAGTATTATCACAGCTGTTCAATGGTGTGCAAACATTGTGCAAATATTCGGCAAACTTGAGGTGGAAACAATGACGCAATTGCCGGGACACAGAAAAACCCCTCAAAAGAACCAAAAAAAACAATAAAAAGAGAGTACAACAAAAACTATTCGGTTAGCACAGAAATCACATCTTGATTGGGCTCTTTAGGATGCTCGGCGACCCAAATTGCCCGACGTTCAGCCAGCCACTTGTGGAGATTCTGAAAAGGAACATTAGCTACAAAAGTGGGCAGTACTTTAGCATATTGGTGTCGAAGACGGAACGGCTCTTCCCCATCGTCTTCCAGATAACTCAGCTCATTGTCAAGCTCGTCATCCACCTAAAAACAGAAATTGGGAATTAATGTAAGATTCTATACCTCGATTGGCCAAACATCCAAAAATTCATGACGCGGGCGAATGTCGTGCAGGGCGTTAATGCTAGCTTTGTGGAGCTCCTAAAATGTGATATAGCTTAAAGCGTAACCTGAATAATTACCTTTTTGTAAGCCAAGATATATGAAATGACAAGTGGAATGTGGATCGGCGGCTTGGCGTACCGACAAAGCGCGTTCAATCCCTCGCCAGTAGCCAATTTCTCGAAGATGCTATTGTATACAGGCATTTTTGCTCCAAGTAAATCTGGAAAATAATTTATGACAAACGTCAAGACCTTACCGGTACAATTGAAGTTGGGGGCAAAATTTTTTTTGGGTCATTTTTGGGCTAATTGGTCAGTTTTTCGTGGCTAATCCAGCGCAATACTCAACTCCTAAGCTAAGCTAAGCCGAAGCACAGCTAAATTGAGCTTGAACAAAGCTAAGTCAAAGCCAAAAGCAATGATGCTGTGGCGAAGCCAAGCTAAGGACCTGGTACTAAGGCTTAGGCTAAGCATAGGCCTAAGCCTAGGTTAAACTAGTTCTAAGCCTAGCCTAAGTCAAGCTTAAGCCTAAGCCAAGCCAATACTAAGCTAAGCTAAGCCTAAGCCAGAGAAAAACTGACCAATTAGCCCAAAAATGACCCAAAAAAAATTTTGCCCCCAACTTCAATAGTACCCCTTACCAGCTAATTGCTCAGAAGGAAGTGAAGCGAGGTTGGCCAATCCCTCCAGTTCAACGGGACATCTGCTTTCCGGTTTTTCGCTTCGATAGCTAAACAAAGTATTTGCTTTCGAAAAATGAGATCCCACAGTTTCAATCGCGCAATCTGTTGTTGGGCCAATTCGGAGAGACCCGACGACATCAGGACGTCCAATGCCTCATCGAAGTAGCCAAAACACTCCGCCAACAGTGTCAGCCGCAGTACGAAATGTGGCGCGCGATCACCCCGATCTAAACGGATTTTAGAAAGATAGAAAAGGTTACCAAGCAGCGCCAACACCTTCTCAAACTTGATTCGAGAGCCAGCCGCATCGAAATGACGGGCCGAGTGAGCGAGGAAAGAGGAGAGCTCTTCGACAGCAACTTCCTAAAAAATCTTATCAGAGAAAAACACAACAAATACCGTCGGACGATAGGTCAAGGCCTGGCAAAACGAGTCGATGGCGACGGCCTCCAAATCAGCCAGTAGTGCCGGCTCATGGGCCACAGTCTTCGCATCATACACCGCTAACAGTCCCTAAATCCGATTTTTATCCTACCTTATATAATTTTGGTGCGTATGTGTGTGTGTGTGTGTGGATGTCACTTTCGAGGCCCGATTTGAGGGCCTTCCCTTGCATAAAATGCCCTAATTCTCCGTCACCCGGGGGAATCGACACTTCTGTTTCCGATGGCGTCGTCAGAATTTCGATAAAATACAAGTTTACAAAGTTAAAGCCGGTTTTATTCATTTTTGGGAGTCCCTGAGAGCTAATTTGCATAATGCGGAAAAATACAAATTTCCTCATTCTTGCCAGTTGCACTCGCGTGTTTGGTCAGTGGGGGGGAAGGGGTCCGAAGGACCCGAGCTCTCGAGAAGTCAAATTTTTCATGCAAAGGCCGCATTCCAGCGCCCAAGGCCCGCGAAGCGGGTTTTGGGCGCTGGTACTAGCATGAAAAAAAACCAACGTAAACTGTCCAAATAAATCCACATTCCGGGTTGATCTTCAGGCCGGTTTCGCATGCCTGTTTTGATTCACTATGCAGGTTCTAGGAATACATATTGACATAAGGGGGGGGGGTCGACTTACAAATTTTGCGTACAACAAGGCGAGACGACACCAGGCCTCCGAGTTGGCACGATTCAATTCAATTGCCCTGAACGGAATGATCCCATAAAATCATGATTCCCACCGCAGGTAGGCATGCTGCTGTTGCGGGAAGGGGGCTTCTTCAGCCGATAGAGCATCTCCCAATTTGCCCCAATAAATCGAGCGCATTCCGGCGTCATCGCTCAGACGAATTGCTTGTTTCAGGCAGCTCACGGCCCTAAGCACGATCGTCAAATAAAGCTATCAAAAGCTTACTTTTAGCATAAGGTATTGAAGCCAAAGCTCGGCTACCCAATGTCAAGGCTATCCCGATGTCCGCCCACGCAGATGCGGAATCGTTCTTGGCAGAAAGCACAGCGCCCAACAGCGAAATCGCTCCTTTCCAGCAGTCAGCCGGCTCCTTGATGGTGAGAATAGCCGGAAACTGAATCACTTGTTTCCAGGAAACCAAAAACTTTTACATTTAATTGGCTGAAGACGTCCGTATGGAAAGAGGCGCAAAAGATGAGTATGTCAGCCGCGGTTTTATACAGAATGGTATAAGGAAGCCGTTTGTCCAATAGCGAGCCCAGCTTGTCATAGATTTCCTGTAGGGCTTCTAAATAAAACATCACTATTTTAGCAACTGAAATTACCAATCATTTCCGAGCCTGTCAGTTCCTCGCATTTCGTGAACTTTGCCTGGATCTCCCAAAGCGAGACGAAGAAATGGGCATCTTTATCGCCGTCGATGTCAGCGTTGCGAGTGGCTCGCCATTTATCCGCGTGCTCCAGCAACTCGTCCACATTTCCCAGACGAAATAGAACGTGAAGCATCTAAAAACCATGAATCCTCGATAGTATTAATCAACTGACCGGAAGGATATAATCACTGTCCGGCTGAAGCCTGGCTGCCTCGAGATAAGCATTGACGGCGGCTTGTAGACTGCCTCGTTGCAGGTAGGCAGCCCCCAATTCGCCCCAGCGGTGTGCATCTTCGGGGTTGTCGCGGAGGAGATGTTGTAGAGAGTTGATCGCCTTGTCTCTATACAACCGTGATAATTTTTTATGGAGACTTACATTAGCCCGGCGCCGAGATAAAGCGGATAGAGGCGCTCCTGAAGCCAGTGTGTGCGCTTCGTCATCTTTTCGAGCTGAGCCAGGCGAACGGATGGAGAGGTGCCTAAAAGTCATTCAATCAAACTCGCCCGTCACTAACCAGTCTCCATGAGGATATCGTCCAAAAGCAAAATGCATTCTTCGCATCCTTCCTTCAGACTTACGGCCCTTTCCGCACACGATTTAGCCTAAATGGAATTTAACGTCAGGAGTACGAAAACTTACCTTTGTCACATTTTTGCGTCGGAGCGCCTTAGCCAACAAGTAGAAAACCTTCGCGCAACGCGGATGGTCTTGGCCGAGATCGACAAGTTGCTTCAGCGTCGCCTCGTCGGCCAAATTGGCTTCCGCACGCATCAGGTTGTCTTGCCAGGTCTGCGTTCCATCCTGAGCAAAAAGTTCATTAAAAAAGGTGGAAACATACGAATTTCTCGCTTTCCAGCGCAATTCTCTTCGCCTCAGCGGCTTGTCCATTTCTTAGAGCTTGAAACAATGAAAACCTCAATCGATTGGCTTCCGACTTGATATCGGAGACAACCACTTCACGGCCACTATGGAAGTTCAGGAGGATTTCAGAATACTCGAATCTAAACAGGATTAATGCCAAGTGATTGGATTTACTTCGGCGTCAACGGACACATTCCAAGGCCAATTCTCAGCGACTCTGGAGTCATCAGGCCCAATAGCGACGCGGCGCGGTATCCATGTAGCTGTTCACGTAATAATGGGTCGCTTGTGCGTTGTTGTGCCAGGGCGATATAAGATAGGCATCTAACAATGTTACATTTCGAGGAAAACAACAAACTTTTCGTAATTTTCATCCTCGTACATCACGCGAACGGCCGTATAAATTGCAGGCTCCAAGCCGTTTTCTACAAGGCTCAGTTCAGGGATTTCCAGCACTATCCCAGCTGCATCATCCCAGTCTTCATCGTTCAGAGCGTCGAGAAGATTGAGGGGCTGTAGAAACGTCAAAAGGTCAAAAGATGACTAAAACTCACGAAGTCATCCTCCTCATCAGTGTGAGTGCGGTTGTAGACGTCCAAAAGATTTTCGTTGACCACCCCTTGAACCAGAACGCCGATATGGATCAAATAATCCAGCCTCTCATCTGCATATAAGTCAATAAAAGCGCACGGAGCAATTCGACTTACACATCCAAGTGTCCAGCTTCTGTTTCGGATGGAATTCACAAAAACGCATAAATTCCTGCTCCCAGTCGCAATAAGTTTTAGAAATCTAAAGACAGTAAAAAATACAAATTTAGCGTTTGTTACCTCGTATTGATATTTCACGTAGCGGCGATGCAAATCCACATCCTTCCATACCAGTTCGAAGCCAATGGTTTTGAAAGCTTGCAGGAGCTAGGCCAGAATGGGTTTTTTTGTGAACCTCAATCCGTACCAATGATTTTTCGCTTTCACTTTATTTTCTCTTTCTGTAAGCACTTCGATCAGCTTCCCCATGAAAACAGGATCTTCGCCCGGATCTTCCTAAGGAAAGTTATAAACAACTTTTGCAATACCTTCAAGTCTACAAAGCGTTTCAGCGTCAAAAGGAACTCTCGTTTCTTCTGCAGACAGTATTCCTTTTTCTCGTCATCTGCACTACAATAGCAGAATTTTGGTTAAAACCCAAGGAACTCACGCAAAGGTTGCCGCCTTTTCAGCAGTCTCAATAGCTCGTTCATCCACCGGAAGTCCCTGTTTGTCATACAACTTGAAAAGACCCTGCCAGGCAATCGGCTTTGACGCGTCTATTTTTATTGCCTATGAGAAATTAGTGAAAAGTAGTTATTTTTACCTCTATATAATGTGTGGATGAATCGACAGGGTAGTTTTGATTTGCATTTGCGAGGGCCGCGAAGCAGTAGATCATGTAATCTTTGACGCCATCTTCGATATGTTGCTGCAACGAATTTTTGTAGACGAAGTCCCAGAAACCTCGCATAGCTCCATAGCGGCTTCATCTTTCTTCTCGATAAGTAACTTTTGACTTCGTGTACCACCTCCTTGACGACGTCTTCGCTCATCGACTATACAAAGGGTTGACTGCGTTCAGGACTTGCCCAAATAACAAATGAAATTAGTACAAAGGACTCAACAACCGAAAAATCGTAATCTATTTATTCGGCGAACATCCAATAAGCACATCTTTTACAAGTCCACGATGATAAGGCGATTGTACAAAAGACAAACGAGGTGTAGTATAAAAACGACAACTATCTAATGAAACTGCGAGCCAGTTAAAATTCGATTCCAATGGTCGGGGAGAGGATGCCACTTCCGGCAGTGAACTGTATTCGGCCCTGTTGCCGGTCCCACCACAAGAGGTCTCCGTCGAGGCACGCCTCGTTATTCTTGTCCTGAAAAAATTTTGATAATTGCGGATAGACATATTTCGGCTACATAAGCATTAAATAAGCCATTATAACTTACAATCGGAACATAGAGCAGCCTAGTGTAGAGGTAGAAGGCGAGGAAGACGCTTCCCATGTAGAGGAACACGGATCGAGGGGTTGCGCGGAAAAATTCGGCTTGGGTCATGTCAGCCGAGTACCAGCGGAACATGGCAGGGTCCATGACAACGCCGGCCTAACAATAATGTCTTAAATAGTGTTTTGAAGGTATACCTTGTACTTGAAGCTGTGGGGATCGTATTCTCGTCGCAAATACTCGCTTCTTCAAGATCTCCTTGACGCGATACCTGAAAGTAAAATGTACCTATGATAAAGCAGATTCTTCTGCTTGGCTAGATAATCAAGACCTATGAATTTCGCAAATTCGGTTAGAATAAACGAACCTCCACAAGACGGCTTTCTTCTCGTCCTGGGTCAGGTTGTACTGCTCGCCGGCCTTGAACTCCATCTTTCCGTGAGTCTAAAAGGGGTGTGAATGATATGCAAGGGAGCAATAGAAAGAAAAAGAAATCAAGATACCTCGAAGTATCCAAGAACCGGATCCCGCCACAGCTTCGGCGCCGTGACGTTCTGATTCGCAGCACCCAAGAGCTGCCGAGTTGGTACTCTCATTGCCGCTGAAAAAAAAACGAATTAAACGACCACGAAACACCTCATAATTATGAGGAGTATTATGCATAATAAGAAAAAATAAGAAACCAAAAGCTTGAAAGAATTTTAGTTAGAACTTTTTCCGTCGCGGGCAGCAAGTACGACAAAGTACTAACAACGCCAATGTTACGGTTCCAGAGGCGCTTTATGGAAAGCAACCAAGGCCCTCTGGCACCCCAAAACGCTCCCTTGTGAATATTTTTATCATTTTTTTACTTTTAATAAATTTATATCAGTTGTAAATTGTTATTCTAGATGTTGCTACGTCGGCTGGGCCCGTCTTCATCATCTTTCACACCCCTATGCTGCCAGTTGCGACAGAAAGCCCTCGATTTCAGAAGTCGCCGGACAACAGGTTTGATTCTGCTATTTTTCTATTATTTTCTAGGGCAAAACGGCTATGGTCAGACGCCCGGGAAAGCATGGAGATACAATGCTTCTATGGACCGCGTCTTCACCATGCAATATGGAAAACGATTTGGGTTGGATGTCGGGTAGGAACAAATGGAGTTTTTAACTTGCCTTCCAGATTAGAAGACCGGATGTTTCTACTCTCCCTTGGCACCAAGCAGAGAAGACTCGATGACAAAAAAGATGGAAGCGACTGAGCGAGATATTCCAGAGGAGGTGATATTATTTCCCATGCACTGAACTAGAAGATTTAGGATTTATGAAATCATTCAATGTCACGAGGCGCTTGCCGGAAAAGATATCACCTTTACGAAGGTTTTTGTGTTCAAATATTTGATACAATTCTTTAGCTAAAACTTGACAAATCCTTTTCGACGATTTCCATCAGCTGGCTGTGCAAAGGAACCGGGGACGAGGTTTTCTATCCCCAAAAATAGCAAGGCTTTTTAGGAAATTTCCAAATTGTTGGAAGAAAACCGCCGCGAGCTCCGTCGTCAGCTAGCCGAATCTTTGGGCGGTGGGAATGTGCCAGAAATCGTATTCAACGCAGACCGTACAGATTTGATGCTACAGGTAGAGAACATCGAAGCTGCTTACTATTTGCTTTAGGAGATGGAACTCTTATTCAAAAAGGCTGACTATGGGGTCGACTATCGGACACTTTCAAACGCCGCTCGTGTGATGGGAAAGGTCCCAGAGGATGAGCTGACTGAATTAGGCCCGGTAAATTTCTCCATCTCCACTTTATTGCTGAAAAAAATTCAGAAAGATCGACCATGGATCCGGCGATTGCACGCGATACCGAAGAAATCAAAGGAATGAAGGACGTTTGTGTGTATTGTAACTATATCAAAATATGACTGGTCGATAAATCTTTAGACACAATAGTTGCCCATCCAATACGTGGCTGCCGGTTTACATTACATGCAATTGGGTTTTTATGAAAAATGCAAGTAATTTGGACTCATCCATTTTAGATTTTGCGTTAATACCTCTCACAATTGTTTGCTTTTTTGAATCTTATCCCGACTCGAGCGGAGATAGCTGAGTGCTATTGGGTGCGAGAGACACAGCTTGATATTGGAGAGCACCGACGCGCGTTCCTGTGATGTAGACACATAGCATCTGCCTTCTCTGCGCTCTCCCCTTTCGCCGAACTATTCCTCCGCAGCGTAGAAAACTTGCCAATTGTTCGGCCCGAACTAGGTCCAGCCGAGGCCGAGTTTCCAACTACACTTTTTCCGTGACTTTCGTTTCCAATATTTCTGTGTGACAAGCATATAATATTTTCTAATTCGCCATTTTCAGTGATCCTTCACCATTCTTGGCTGGCATAAGGACCAGTTCAAGGAGCGCAGCTCGAAGTCACCAGTCTGCACAGTAAATCTTCTGAAGAATGCCTATTTATTCGAAGCTTTCTCTTTAAATATCTTTTAGTTCAAAGACCGGACCTCTAAATCGCCCAGTGTGCATCGCAAATCATCCCGGGCATTAGGGTAAGATAGCGATTCTTTCGATATTCGGTTTAGTTGGAAACTTCATCTATCAGTTCGGCCGATTCCAGTATTAGTAATCCGGTAAAAAACTATCAAACTGCATGGGATTTATGGTGGAGTCATCCCTATTATTACTAACGAAAACAAATCGTCAGGTCATCCGGGGGGAGACAACAAGCCATTCTTGGTGACTTGGAGAGACGAATGGCGATAACCAGGAAACACGCTGTAGAAGTTATCCAGGATCTCAAGTAAAATCCAAGCTCGAAAATAACACTTCATCCATTTTAAGCCGGTGATGTCCCACGTTTCCCGGAGATCAAGGCGCCTCTGAAACTTTAAAACAGTCGATCGAGATTGGCTTGAATAACTACGCGAACATTG